CACTAGTGTTACAAAACCCTGCAAATGTTAGGCGCTTGTGCAGGACTTCAAACTGCCTATCACTATATAGCAGTATATACTGCTTTCAGTATACACTGCTAGGCGATAATATCGCGATTATTAAAAGAGAAAATGCGGAGTTAGATACCTTATCGGATAAATCCTTAGCGGCCGATGAGATTTCTCCGGCGACCTTACTCGTCGATTCTTTAGCCAGCGACAATAATTCTATTTGTAAAGAGTAAAATGGGATAAAATTTAAATACGATTCCATTGGGGTAAATTCAATTTAGAAGGTGCCGAAGGCCCTGGATCAGCAGGTTTGACTGAGGATGATTCAGCAGAATTTTCCTGGGATAAATTCACACCGTCCCAGTCGCCTGGAATTAAGTGTTTAATGGCCGAAAACATTGTAATCAAGAAGGCTAAGCTAGTCTCAGGTGGAAGTCAATAATTCTTTATTTAAGCGCCATTTTTAGATGACCAATCAAAATTGAGACTGTAGGTCGACTAAACGACTTTACTTGTTGGAGGGCGTTCACCGATCGCTATCTCGCCCCGGTCTGCCTTTTGGCTCACTTTCGAACCTTGTCAACAGAAGTTCAGCGGCTATTAGATAAGCATAATAAAACTGCACGCAAATACAAGAAAGACAGTGTCGCTTTTCAAATTAATGACGCATGCGATGTGCTATTCAAATTTTTCAAATTTATATTTGTTAGAACCTTGAAGACACTGTCATAAAAAACTTAGAATCGAACTAAAATTATGACAATGCGCACAGATAAAGTGCATGAAGTAGTAATAATATAGGCGGAAATTTTCATAACTTGACCTTGACCGCGGTTGGTTCAAATTTTGAGACAACGCGGAAGATTTCTATAAATCGATCTATTTACAAGAAGAAAGATTCGTTTTACTTGGTATCCACTTATTTCTCAAAATGACGAATTCTACTAAATGTCCTCAATGTAACTACAATGTCACACGTCGGACGAAAGCCGTCCAGTGCCAGGGCTGTTCCAGCTGG